CACCCGCCACCAGGGAATCATGGCCGATGCTCCGGCGCCGCCGGATCCTCAGCCAGGTGCAGAGGGAGCCGGGCAACGGCCGCTCGAATGTTTCCAAGTCGCCCAGCCGGTGCTAGGCCCCAACGGCCCTGTTTACCAGGAGGTGGCCCGCGGTAATAAAGATGATGGCAAGGGAATACCCCCGGCGGACTTTACAGGGTGTAGGGTGCAGCTCATGGACCACTCATTTGGCAACAGCTTTGGGAAACCCTTCGTTGGTAAGTTGCGTCTTACGATTGGCTCATACGGGTTCATGGTTGTGAAGCGGAGATGGATGCCCTGACTTGGTGCTGACAGGTGATTACACGCCTCCCAACTGCGACTTCAACCGCGTTATTGTGAACTTTACTGCCACATCTGCAGGCCGTCAACTGGATCGGCTGGCTTTGTGGTATTTCGGCGACACGGAGGTGTGGAGAACATCCACAGCGGAGCCCAGAGCGGCCCCCGGGATTGTCTGGACCTATTGGAAGGACATGACCCCGTACCTTAGCCTCTGGAAATCTCCCCAAAAGATCATTTTCGACCTGCCTAACCTCATCGGTATGTTTGGCTCATGCTCCAGCACACTTCTAAGCGACCCAGCCACTTTTGGCCCATGTCACAAAACCCCAACCCGCTACTTCCATCGGAGACATTGGAGTGGGGGCCAAAACCGCTAACGCCGCCAAGACGACAGGTATACCGCCCCTTTCAACTGCACCCTGACCGCAACCTTCTTCAAGTCCGATGTGGGAACCGACAATGCACTCCCCGCTGACCTCATCATCCCCATCTCGTCACGGAACGCGTCCTCCAACATGGGCAGTGCCTGGCAAGTGCCAGAGCGTGAGGCCGTGAGCACCGTCAAATTTCCGCGCAATGCCAATCGAGCAGTCTTCTCCGTCTCAGCCAACGGCCAAGGAACGGAAGAGTTCTGGTGGAGCAATGTCCTCGAGAGCGATGCCGCAGCTTTCAATGCCACCGTCGGTATTGCTCCTGCTGGAAGCCCCTGGCGCGAGGTCCAGGTCCTCATTGACGACAAACTTGCCGGAGTGCAGTGGCCCTTCCCTGTTGTCTTCACCGGAGGAGTCGTGCCTAGCTTTCACCGACCGGTCGTGGGGCTTGACGCGTTCGACTTGCGGGAACACGAGATTGACATAACTCCCTGGCTCCCGGTCCTGAGCGACGGTCAAGAGCACACCTTCAAGATCAAGGTTGCCGGCATCGCCGACCAAGGGAACCGGGTATTCGTGAACACCACTGTTGGTAATTTCTGGGTGGTCTCGGGCAAGGTCTTCCTCTGGCTAGACGAGGAAGGGTCTATCACGACCGGCAAGCCGCCTATAGTTTCTGTTTCCGACCCCGATATCAAGATATTTGGTCGTGCGATTGAGAAGAACGCAACTGGTGCGAACGAGACTCTCACCTTCAACCTTGGCGTGACGCGTTCTGTCTCAGTCAAGGGCGAGGTTGTTTCCAAAAAGGGGACCAGTCATCCCGAATGGACACAGAGCCTGTCGTATACCAACAGTGCAATCCTGGGCCGGTTCGGCCTCAATGGCTTCAATGACTTTGTCATCGCCGGCACAGATGCGCTGCTTGGAGGGCCGGTCGGGTACCAAACGACGTACTCGTATCCGCTGATAGTCAACCAGACCACCAATATGACGCCAGCCGGCGACCTGAGTCTGGAAGCAACAATGTTCCAGGAGCTGAGGCTGGAAGTCGAAGGCGCGGGTGTGTATCCAACCGGCCTAGAGGCCTACAACGCTGTTGGCCACAACGTGCAGGGACAGAGCGGCCAGTACAGTGTATCGAAACTTTACACTTTCCGCAACGGCACGGCTATGTTCACCATGCCGGCAGATATGAAGAGCAGTTCGGGGTTTGGCACGACGCGACAGGTCTTCCGGTTCAGCGGCGGTCAGGATGGGGCACGTGACGTTCAACTATACACGAGGAGCGTCTTGGCTACGAACAACACAGTGCTGTCCGATAAAGAAAACTCTGCCGACGGGCGAGAGAGAGTTTTGACCGTCCCAAGCCTTCCTTGAGACACCAATCAAGACGGGTGATGAGCATACTAGATCCAGACGCGGAATCGTTCCAGGTTTCAGGGAGACTCTTCCCATGGACAAACATGACATGCCGAACTCCGGGTTACACCGACCGGGTGGGATATAGACGGGCAGCACACGCGCCCAAGAATGTATCGAGTTGGCCCAAGTGACCTAGGACACCTGCTAGCGATGTTTCTGTCTCACCTGAGGCTATGGCAGGCAGGGATGCAGAACCGGGATTGTCATTTTAAACTTTCGGGGTTAGAAGCAAACGGCCAAGCAACCGTCATTTGCCCCTTATCCCCCCCCCAGTCTAGTGAGTATCTGTGTATGTCACCTACACAGACATGGCAACTAGGTATCAATGGACGCGTTCCACATTAGGGGTCAATCAGCCATGCCTCGCCACTAGTGCCAAGTTCTCTCAATAGGGAGCGGCATAGAGTCTGCGATGTACATTTACATTCTCCGGGTTAAGCTTTTCGGGGAGCCCGCCAAATCTCGAGCCACCTTGCCCGGCAGCGATCTACAGGACGCACAGCGAATCTCGTTGGCAGGTTGAAGTGGATCGCGCCGCAAGACGCGGCAAGGGGCCTTGAGAACAATAACTCCGTGTATGGAACGTTTTGTTCTACTGACTTGATCAATGTTTGTACATGCATTCGTTTACACACCTGTATTCGCGCACTCGTGCTCCTTCGTATGCCGTGCATGGTTACCCAGCATCGGTTGCTTGCAAAGATGCAACCGCCAAGGGCGGGCGGGGTGTTTGTCCGTGCTACCATGTACGAATATCTGCTCGTGTCACGAAAGTCTGCCCGAGTAGGTACGGGCGGGATCGTGGCCCTGTGCGCATGCCCGACAGGACGCCATGCGCCGTCAAACTTTAGTGCCCCGACATTAGGAATGAGAATTCCCACGGCAAACGGTGAATTCCATGGGCGAACCATTCTGGGTTCCTGGGTGCTGCCCCACACCCCGTCGCGGGCATCGTCCGTCCTCATCGGTCCCGTCATCCCTCACATTCACATTTCCACCCTTTGCGCGTACAAGCACAGGCTATTCATGCCTATCCGTGTTACCTACCACGGCCCAGGTACATAAGGCATGTGCTTCCAGTGCTGGATTGCCTAGTTACGCTGCTTCCACAGGGCGAGCCCTTGGCGATTGGCGCCCGCACCAGCCTCTCCTCCGAGGGGAGGCTACACGCTAACCACGTACTACACGTCGTCGTGGAAAGCCTAATTGAGATTTTTACAAGCGCCTCGATCCAGACAAAGCCTCATACATCACACGATGCCGCCCAGCGGTCTGGGGGGAAGAGGACCCCAGAGTGGAGGGCGTGTGGCGCTCGACGGACGGTCTTACACCCCTCCCCTCACCTCTCTCTCTCTTTCTCTCTCTCTGTCTCTCATTCCCACCCCCTCTTCTTCATCTCTAACCGGGTCCATCTCTCCAACAGACGATGCGAAATAGGGGTCGACGCCCGCGATGGATGGAGCATTGCCGTCGATCTTTAATATGCAACCGCAAGCTAAGAAACATCACCAAACCTTAACATTCCTTCTGCCCGCGGAGTACATACCTATGTACACTACCGCGCCTCGACTCCACATTCGTATCCCCCTTTTCCTTCCTTCCTCTCCCCCCCCCCCTTTTCTTCCGCTCCCTCGCATTCTCCTCTCTCGCCTCCTTGAACTCTATGGCACTCCCCGTCAGATGCCCGATCCTCGCAGATAGGCTTTGACGAGGCTTGTCGATGACGCTGCGATTGCCAGCCAGAATACCACGCTGCAGAGCGGCCGCTCCTTGCACGCTGGAATAAGCAAGGTCGACAACGAAAACATGACAATTAGTACGGGTTTGGGCCGCTCTTCCGCCCCAATTCGCTGTCGTCCAACACACGCCTCGCGTAGGTGCCATATTCTTCCCACTTTGATACCCGTAGAATCAAGCCGAGCCTTGGCATTCCTCTGTCCAATCTCATGGTTACACCCTCTTGGTGCACCCCCCGGTGCCGAATCGGCTCCTGCAAGATGGGCGGCCGACGTCCCTGCCCAGCATCAAGGACTTACACGATGGCCGGTGTTGCCAAGTTGAGGCGAACCGGGAGTGGTGATTGGTGGAGAGGGGATGGCCTTCTGGAGGCGACCCGCCTTCCCGGGCGGTGCCCCTCAGTCGGACGGTCAGGGACCCACACCATACGCCCTTCCTCCAGCCGATACCACAAAGGAGGCCGGTTTCCAGAGTCAGTTCACCGTGGGGTCGACTAGATGGGACAGGGACGGCAAGGAAAAGCTTTGGGATGCCGGGCGTTCGCCTTGGCTCCCGCTTCTTTTCTGGATTTTATCTTCTTTCCTTTTCAGCGTCCGTTCCCGTTGGAGAAGGCAATGCGTGATGCTTCGACACGCGGGCGCCAAGTATCCCATTAAATCGTTTTGGCTTCGGTTCGGTCGTGGAGCTACGGCAGCCCGCAGCTGGCAGCGGCCGCATTTCTACAATCGCCCGCTCCCCGGGATCATACTATGTATGTACAGACACTATCGGGATACGGTGATACGCGCACAGTAATACGGGCTTGGCGAAGATGGATACACCTAGTTACACCCAGTAAGGCGAGGCAAAACAGGACACGCTATTGATTGAGTCAGAGCACGAAAGAGCAAAATCGAGAGGCGAGCCCCATCTATATGCCCACGAGAAGTCTAAGTCAGTGTGACAGTGCTGCGCTGGCATGGTTGTGGGCAGACTGAGGCGGAGGGTGTATCCGTATGCTTTCTTTCCTCCTTCTAGAAGTCCTGCCGGAGTCCAAGGTTGGTTGGGAGGGGAGAGGAAGGAACCCGGATATCGGCCTGCGCGGGGACGTGATAGGTACACGAATGCATGCCGGGCTAGCTGGGTCCAGGGCCTGTTCCGACCATGTCCCCCCCTCCCCCCCCCTTGGGCATGTCTCCATCTTCCCGCGCCCTGCGGACACGGAGTGTCGGAAGGGTAATAGAGTCGGTGTGCGTTGGAGCAGCAGCTGGTCTGGCTTGCTCGGACCCCGAAACTGACCTCCCACAGAAACCGCGCCGCTTCGCTGTTGCGCGGCCCCGAAATATCGCTTCAAGGTGTGTTGCTTACGTTGCCGGACCAAATCACTGTCATGTCATGCGAGAGTATAAAATTGCAGTCTGAAAAGGGGGGGGGGGGGGGGTGAGAGGGCGTTTGCGAAGGGTTGGTACCGGTACTGCAGGTGTCGGAGACTCTCCGATGCTAGACGCTGCAGGTGTCAAAGTGAAGCGGCCGACGCTGCGGGAGAGAAGCCAGTCTGTTGCTTGGCCCAGCCGTATTGCCGCCCGAGGAGGGTGTGGCATAGAGGTGGGCTTAGGTCGATGATGTACATCGTCACCATCCCTGGGTATTCGTGGCATCGCGAGGCAAACATGATGTGGGCAGCAGGGAGCCCAACCTCATGTGGGTGTACCGGTATCACGGTACGAACGTCGGCCGTTAAGGGAAGCGCAATCTGGGTATCCCGTCGACCCGTCTCAGAAAACCTTACCAAGAGTGAGAGAACAAAGAATCCGGAAGGTTGGTGTGACGCCTCGGCTTTCTTGATGTGTTCTTGCGAAACTAATCATCAACCTTGGGATGGCCTCGAGGCGGCAACGGCAAGGGAACACCTACATACCTAGGTAGTAGGCAGGCAGGGAGTACCCGAGGTATCGGTACAGGCGAGAGGCTGTCTGATTGCTTTTGGGGAAAGAGTGGGGGCAAAGTGATTACCTACAGGTACTACTAGTGCGAAGAGGGAACGGGTCGAAACCTTAATTACCAAAACGACCGCTTGCATGTAAACCACTTGCCGCATAAGCGGTGCAGAGTTTCCACCCCCATCATAACCATCATCATCATCATCATCATCATTTTCTTTTTTTTCTCTCTCTCTTTTTTTGCTTTGACAATCAGAATAGGCTCCGCCGGACGCCACCGGTGACAATACTAATTCCTGGCTCACGGCCGTAAGAGCCACTTATACTCCCCACGATAGTTCCGGCATACCTAACGGTCTCAAACCCCTCGCCGATGCTCTTGGTAAGCCAGCCTGTTGCGAGCTGCGAACGCTTGGACTCCTGTGGTGCGCTAGGGCCGGTAATGTTCCAGCGCCGCGAGATCGCCAACAACGACTCCACACTGCGCTGCACAGGCTCGAGGCACACCTGTTCTTCTTCCCTCACCCGTCAACGCTCGTTAGTAAACTATTGGGCCGAGACGAAGGATTCTGGCTTGCCTACTGGCTTTGTCTTTGTCCTTGGCGCGTTTGGTAAAGAGTGGAGAGAGGCGCTTAGCGGGGGGAGGGGGGGGTGCGGCGTGAGTAGAAGTCTTCTATGCCAGACACGCTACAAAGGACTTGCGTCAGCCGCCCGAAAGAAGGTTTCCTCCTACCGCGCAAGGGGGGCGAGGAGAGGAGCTGAAGACCAAACAATGGGCCGGTCTGATATAGAGTTTCTGCCTTCCTTTGGAGATGATTATCCAGATTTGGGCCAGCGCGAACATCTGACCATCATGTTGGTCGGTATCGTATGGCTTAGGCCCCACGGCCTAATTACGTTCAGCCGAGCCGAGGGGAGTATACACAGCCAAGACGGGACCTGCACGGTCGAAAAAGAAGGAAGAAGAAACGTTATCGTGCCGCCTTGGTCTGTTTCTGGCTGTTCGAACTCCCACAGTCAGCGCTCTTGCACGGTCGACACATTGTTCTTTGGGCCGTCCTCCGCGCAGTCGTGTGAGAGTAGAGTTCGCCGGGCAAAAACATCGGCAGGAGCGAACAGATTTCACGAGGACAGGGTGTCAGCAGGAGCGAGTGCGAGTCTTCCCCCGTCCGTCTGCCATCTCTGCTGGAGAGAGAGAGAGAGAGAGAGAGAGAGAGAGAGAGAGAGAGAGAGAGAGAGAGTTTTCCTCTTGAACTTTCCACGTTAGCGGGGAGCCAAGGCGAAAGAAGCACCAAAAATACCCACGACAAAACGCAAAGAGGAAAGGACAACTCTGGCCGTACCGCCTGGACGGGATGAACATGCCGCCAGCGCATGTCATACATGCGTCGCAGCGCACGCGATTTGCTCTGCTCAGCTTGATCGACCCCGGTCCATCAACGATCCATCTCGGCAACGCGACTGAAGAAATAAAATAAAATAGAAAAATTTAATCAATTGCATAGCAATTGAAATTGAAAAATAAATAAAAGACCTAGCCGCAGTGGAGAAGTGGGTTAGCGACCGACCGACCGACTCACTTATCGATCGTAGCCGGCCGTCACCTGCCTCTCCTACGAATAAAGCCGTGCGTTTGCATCTCCAATCCCAATCTTGTCCCACCCCCCCTTCCCTATCAGCTGCGCGAAACGAAGCCACGGTATGGCAGTGCTAGCCTGGATCACCCGATAGATTCGTAGTTTGGCTGTGCATCTCGCCGCCTCATGCCCTCTCGTCTTGATTGGGCTCATGCCGCACCGACCAGGGGAAATCACATTTGTGTGTGAATAGATAAACAGGTTGGTCTTGATTAAGTACAAGGTAGCATCAGAGACGTGCTTCAGTGTATATTTACTGTGAAATCTTTTTTTATTCATAGCCTGGCCATGATAACACATGTCATAATTCTCGTCCAGGCGTATATTAATACGTCTGCCTTCTTCACGGGCCCCTGTAGCCGGCGCGTAGACAGTAATTCGCGACGCCTCAATTCGCTCTGTTGTTGAACCAATGCCAGCTTGGGTAGTGTCATACACCTTACGCAGTGTAGAAGCAGTTTCTGGCTTTGCTGCGGAGGTTATGAGATCCTAAAGACCTTGTCGTCTGGCCTAGACCTAGTTCGAGCGGAGGCAAATGTGGCGTTTGCCTATTTCATGACCCTTGCCTCTCTGTACTGCTCGGTCCTCAGCAGCCGCGCTGAACTTCCAACTGAACTATAATCCGCCGAGTCAATGATGTGTATAATCGGATTTTCAGGTCAGGGTGTAGGACTAGAAAGAGAGAGGGGGGGGGGGGGGGGGGGAACAAAACCAAAGACGACATCGTCCTCCGAATAGCGAGACCTACCGTCCAATATCAAACTCTCTTCCCCCCTTGGTCGCCATCTCGCATGCCAACACCTCCCTTGCCTTCTTGTCACTCCATCTCAAGTTTCGCTTCGTCGCAAGAAAGAAAAACTCAAAACCCTCCCCACATCCACAGACCAGGAGGGGGGTAAAAGATGAAGGAGAAAAGGGGCCCGAGGCGGGTGTGGGATGAACCAAAAACTCTATTGTTTTTGAGAGAGAGAGAGAGAGAGAAGGGGGGGGGAATGCTTACAAGGTTTCCGCGGTAGGTGGCCAAACTTGTGAATCTACAAAGCTTGAAGCGATACGCGGCCACGCAATGTGTGGAGCGATCTGACGGAGACGGAGTCCGCAGACAGGCGTGTAAAGCGTTTGTCTCTTGGCCCTCTCCCGACCCTCGGTGACCTGTAAAAAGCCTACGGGATCTGCTGAACCTGGCATATCCATCACCTCCTTGGCATCCCAAGCCCATCCCTTTTTTTCTTTTTTCCTTCTGACCGGGATTACTGATTCGTGCTGGTGACTGGGAGGGTTTCGTACCAAGGTGTAGAGTTGGGAAGAGCGTAATTCCGACGGAAGCACAGCACGGCTGCGGACTTTGTCAGACATCACAAATGAACGATACACACATGCCCGTGGCCCGTGATCGTGATCGGGCACGTACTTACGCGCAAGGGGGAACGTCTCGATGCGAGGCTGGGTTGCTATCGTCAGCATCACTAAGACGGGGCAAACGCCAAAACACATGTGGAAGGGGTGGAGATCGGATCGGCAACGACGGATGACAGAGTTTCCCCAGGGACTGGGTCGAAGCAGCTTATGGCAAGCGAGTGATCAGACAAGCAATCGCATCAACGACTGGCATCCTTAGTCCGGCAGATGGTCGTGCGGCTGAGCGGCTCCCCCGTAGATTACTGCACCGTGCCGTGAATTCCGACTTTGGACGGACCCGCAACTTTTGCCGAATGCTCGTATTGTGCCGGTCGACGGTCGTCTGCTATCTCGGCTCGGGGGCTGGCACAGCCCTGGACCGCATGTGGCGAATGTGCATGCGTCGTGCCAAGGTATGGCGAGGGTCCTAGGTATCTTCCCTCCGACCCGGACTTTGAACAGGTGTATCGTCTGAAGTGTTCCGCGACGTCCCTGAATCTGAAAGACCCGTGACGGGATGGTGAGTGCAAACTGCTGTCTAGGGTCGCCATGAACTGTGAAACTGACACTTGCCCCGATCAGGGTCCATTCCCGCCGTCTGACTCTCTCTCTGCCAACCCTCTCTCTTTTGACTTAGCGGTGCCGCTGTCTGGACTGAGCTGGCTTCTGCTTTGAGTCTTGTCTCGTTGCTCCGAGCGCAGGTGACGCGGTCTTGACTCTTGGAACGTGTCAAAGAGTTGCATGAGGCTCTGCCACAACACGCCCTGAGGGGTCAATACCTAGATGTGATGGACACGATCCGCGGCGTGCGATACGAGAGTTGCGGGAGAATGGACACAAAACAAACACATGCATACCCACACTCACACACGCACACCCTACGGAGCTGATTGCCGGTTCGGGCCAAGCTTCTTGCCGCCTTTACGCATGGTATCGCGCCCCAGGGTTTATAGTTTTCTCGTTCCGGCCTACGGCTTTGGAACTCAGCCGTCCGTCGCTGGATCATGTCCCGGCGTGATCGGGTCTCGGATTTGACATGGTTTCCGACAAGACAGAGTTCTGAAGATGGCACCGCGGTCGAGCCGTGATGAGCAGTACTGATGATTTGTCTGATTCAACGCCTACTCGACATGCTGACACGATGACTATAGTTACCCCCTTGCCATGTTTCGTGCACAACCCGCCATCCCATACGTCTCGACCCAGCGGTAGGGAAATACATGATGTTTGTTGCCTCAGCCGAGGCGAGCGAAGCAGAGCCAAGCCCTCCCGAATATAGTCAAAACGAAAAACACCACACCCAAACTCCCTTATCCCCATAACCCTAACGCTGTGACGTGGCCCCAATGACTAGCCTACCTTCCCGTGTCTATTGCTGTGTCCACCGTTTTCAAGTCCTAGTTGGATTGCCCCTGTCAAAACGGAAGACAACTTGTTGACAGTGATGACGGAACATCAAAGAAACGACCTTCAGTCCGCTTCGGCTAGTTGCATTATCAACCGTGCAGCCATGTCTAGGAACGGAAAAGGACTTGTGACATCCTTCTCCTCGAGCAGTCTCCTGTCGGCCGTCTCATAGCCAGAGCATTTGAAGTCCACGAGGTAAACGCCGTGCTCCATCTCATATATCTGGATGTCCATGTGCAAGGCTACAAAGTCGCGCTTGACTTCGTCATCGCCAGTAACGTGGTAACTATCCGGTGTCTTGCTTCCCTCTGTAGGGGTCTCCGATCTCTTACGCAATGCTGCAATATACTTAGTAACAATATATCAGGTCGGAGGGCACAGCTCGACTTACTCTGTGTCTCCCAGCGGACCTTGATGTGCCACGGGTCGGCAGGCAGTTTGTATCGCTTTAGCGGATCTATACTACTAGTTGAGTCATTGCCCCCCTGAGATGCGTAGTCGTCGACAAAGCTACCTTCATTACTGGGCTGATCTGTCTCCGTTCCGTGGAGTTTCTCGTAGTCTTCGTCTGGAACGTAGGTTGCGCCCAGTTTGTTCAACGCTTTGTGTATGCATAGCAAGGCCTCCCACGGCGCGTTACGAGAGCGGATTCCAAACTGCCATCTCACGGGTTTCGTCTTCTTGGCTTGCACCACTGGGGTCATACCCTGAGGCCTTTTGGCTGAGTCGTCGAGGCGGACTTGGCTGTTCCTCGAGTGAGGCTTCAAATGCCGGGCCGTCTCTTCCCTTTCAGCGTCTGTACGGGCTGAGGGTCCTGGTTCGTCGACTACGATGGTAGGCGTCGGATGGTCCTCAAACCCGCCCTTTTCACGTTCAACGTATTCCTTGTGATAGGCCGGCAGACTACTTGGTAAGATACCAATCTTGCTGATGTACGGACGCTGTCCGCCCACGGTAGATCCGCCGGACCTAGCTGACGAAGCACTCGGTAAAGGGCTGTTTGACCCATCTTGATCGACTGAGAGTGACGACATGGCCTCTGAAAAGACGTCAGAACGGGACACGCACAGCGTTTTAAATGATACATACCATTCACTTGCATGAGTTTGTTCTCGCGGACAATCATGTATGCATCCTTGATCGCAGATGGTTCGGCAGCCTGCAGGGCCTCCTCAACATCTTTCTTTCCATAGCCCATGGTCTTACTGATCTTCTCCGTGACCTCGTTATGTAGCTTCTCCTGGACCTTTGGAGGAGCGTTGGGGGCGATATCGCTCTTCTGGATGGCCTTATTAGGATCCACGCCCGTGTTGAAGAACTCCTCGACCGGCGGTGCTAAGTAGGCAGGCAGGTCTACCATGAACCAGGGGTCCTGTCTGATGTCGTCGATCGTGGCACGCTGTACAGGATTTACGACCAGCATTTTCTTAATGAGCGTCGCGGCGCCCGAGTTCATCCATTGAGGTATGCTGTACGTTCCACGCGCAATCTTTGCGAATAGACTGGGGATATGCTCGTCATCGAAGGGCAGTCTCCCGACTAGCAGGACGTAGAGAATGACACCGCAACTCCAGACATCTACCTCCGGCCCGGCGTAAAGTTTACCACCAATAACTTCTGGTGCTGCGTAGTTTGGGCTTCCGCAACTCGTCTTGAGGAAATTTCCGTCCGTCATAATATTGCTCAGACCAAAATCGGCAATCTTGACGTTGAGGTTATCGTCAAGCAGCAGGTTCTCGGGTTTCAAGTCTCGGTGAACGATCTTGTGTCTGTGGCAGTATTCAACGGCGCAGAGCATCTGCTGGAAGAATCGACGAGCTTCGGGCTCCTTCATGCGTCCATTCTGTACAATGTAGTCAAAGAGCTCACCACCCGCGTACTCAAGGACCATGATAATCTCGTTGGGTGTCTTGATAACGGTGTACCTACGGTCCATCGGGTTAGTGAGGGGTTTGAACGGATGAGGGGCATGACATGTGGTTGGGCGGGGAGGCCATACAGCTTGATGATGTGAGGGTGTCGCAAAAGCTGTAGGTATTCGATTTCGCGCTCCACTCGGCCGGCCATGTCGCGACTAATGAGCTTCTTCCTAGCGATGATCTTGAGAGCGACCTGCTGTCCGGTGCCGTTGTGTATGGCCAGCTTCACCTTTCCAAAGGAGCCTTCGCCTAGGGTCTTGATGATCTTGTATGCGCCGATGCGCTGCTCCGTTTTGATCTTATCCCGCAGCGGGGCGGTGGTGTCGACGGGAGGTCCCATGTTGGCGGCGTTTATGGCGGCGTCGGGCAAAGGTGGTTGTAGCTCGTGACGACCGGCGGCGGCGGCGGCAGCAGCAGCATCGGCGGCAGCACCGTGCTGCTGAGAGCGACGACGGATCTGGGATGGCGAGAGGCTGATATGGAGCTCCTCCTCGTCGAAACCGGAAGCCATGTTGTCGGTCGGGGGGAGGGGGGCTCGGGGTCGTTTTTGTTTAAATGGGTTGTGGCCGGAGCAAGCCTTTGGACCACACTCAAGTGGGCATGACGAAGTTGGATGTGGGTGGATTGTGGAGGGGAACATGGAATGGCGAGGTGGAGTGGATGCCAAGAAGCTCCTTGGCGCTCCTGGTTCGTGCCAGGCTCACCACATTGGGTATGACTGATTGACCACCCACCACCCACCACCCACCACCCCTGCCTGATGTGGCCTGCCGGCCAAGTGCCACACTGCCCTCTCATCTCTCACCTGCCCGCCTGCCCGCTTTGGTGGTGGGGTGGTGGCCTGTGCATTTTGATGCCAAATTAGGGGTTTATGGAGGGGGCTGCTCCCACTGTTTACAGAGCACTCACTGGCTCATAGTGGGCAGCTTTGTCGCCAACAGCGGACAAAAGGCTTCTACAATTGGTGGGATCATTACTGCGACTGGCGACCTTGAAGAATGTAATCGGCGCGGATCGGGCAGCCTTCCGTTGGGCTTGCTCAGACGTCCTTTCCTGGATGATGCTGCAGCAGAAAGATATGTTTCCTTTCTGACACCACCTCGCCTCCTGCTGTACACGTCGGGGAGGTGAGCAGACAAGGCGATTACCATATCTTGCACTTCATTTCCTCAGACCACGGGTGAGAAGGCGCTGCTGATTTCATGGTTGCATAATGGCTACTCGGATTCCGGAAACAAATAGGTAGACATTCCGGCAACCCTCATTTGATAACGGCACCATTGTGTGACGGGTCCTGGGGTCATGAGGTGGTGGCTTGCTTGCTTGATTGATTGTCCGCGCATCTTGCCAACCAAACACGGGTTCAACACGTTCTCGACGGTACTGAGCCATCATCTGTCGAAACAAACACGCGCCTGACGCGCGCGAAGCCGAATCAGGAATTTGACAGACCAATAGACGGCAGGTCGGAGATAGAGAACCAGTGGCTTATTTCCTTCAACCTAATCTTATTAGTGAGAGTAACTTTACAATGCCACCCTTCAATACAAGGTCCGCTCTTGGCTGTTGCAAATCCCTAGTTGTCTTATGACTCGGGAAAGAAAATCAAGCCCAACGAGGGGCCGCTCGCGCGCATTTCACAAGTGTCTTCGACGGCCCATCAAACCCAGAGCAGATCAAGAAAGGTCCTGCTGCATCTCTGTATAGGCTAAAAAGGCATTGATTAATCCTATCACACATGGGGCCAACTGCCTCGAACCGAAGTAGATCCCCGATGCTGCTGTGGGTAGGCGTTATCCATGCTGGCAATGCGTTGAGAGAGAGAGAGAGAGAGAGAGAGGCTTGGAGCTTG